GAGAGATTGTTTACCTTATGCTTGTATTCCGCGTGTTGAAAAATCGTACGAAATGTCCCCAAGGGTTCTTTACCGGTCCCCTGAATAGGAAACAAATGTATGAGTGTGTTTTATAATACTGATTCTGTCTTCTGTCCTACTCTCCTAACTACTCCAACTGATACTTTCCTTGCACTATTATTATTGGTATATATATATATATAGCATTGGGTTCGGGCGCATTGAAGAATGTGGGGAGGTGATCTGCAGTCCGCCCCAAATATTCTGCAATGCTCCCGAAGTTAATGCTAGCTGGGATAACCTACACTATTTATATCTGTTATTATTCTCTTTTTTCAACAACACCGGATGACTAACAGGTGAAAGAGTTAACTCCGTTCTCACTAGCAACACAGTCTTAACAAACTGCATACTACAAACTACACAATTACTCCCAGCACCATTCCTTTTGGAGTCAATCAAAGCTACGATAGTCAAGTGGTGAGAGGAACTACCCAAAAGTTCACCGAAGACTAGGAACCTTCGCCTCACAACCACGAAGTGAGCACTAACTGGTAAAAAAGTGATATTGAGTATTGGAAAAAATTTTTTTCTGATATTTTATTCTGAGATTGATGACAATATTTACAAATTACCTGAGAACAGCTTCACCATATTGCATGTACTCATTTTCTGTGGGATATTACGGTAAAATTGCTGTACCACTTCACTTAGCTAAGATTAGTCGATGAATTGTCTGAAGTGTCATGGAAGTTATTGGCGATTTTAACAACCTAATCCGCATGCAATGATTAATTGCTCAGGAAACCTGTCACCTGTCAATATCGAAGTACCACAGCTACCATCGGTTTTTCATAATTCATGTCCTCAGGGGCATGATCTGTTCAGCTACTCTTGTGGCAACCTCTATTGGTAATTCCGCTACTGCACATGCATACTCTGGTACCTGTGATTTTATCCCCATATCCAAAAATAGTGCTTTGGTTAACGTAAATCGTACGGCTGCGTAAACCAGAAACAGTATTATTCAGGTTTCTGATTTTTATTTTATATTGTCTCAGCTTGAGTATTCGGTGGTCTAAGGCGCTTTACTCAGAGTAAGATTGCATCACGGGATTTTTCAGTGGAAAGCTACCAGATGTGCAAAAGTAGACATTTTCAGTGGAGATTTAGCAACACAAGGGAACTGTCTGAGCAGACAGTAGTCGCAATTTCCTCTACTGGCAGTTATTCAAGTCGCTCCTTTTGGGTTCACTGTTCAGGAATCTTAGTGGAGACGCTTGTAAATATTGTCTAATTTGTCCACAACTACTCATAAAGCAGAAACATGTTTGACTCAGTAAAAAAGGGTACATTAGCAAAAGTTCAAACGCGTATGTCAAAACTCAGGAGATGCTAGGGAGGATTTCCTATTATTTTGTTTTCACTAATCTGTTCTGAATACACGTCTCCTAAGGTTTTCTAATTATTTACTGAAACATTGGCGTTTTGGACCAATTGTACGAATTAGCAGTCGTATCTAGTCTTCACCTTTTAAGGTGAAAGGTGGACAGCATATTCATCTCTGCAAGTGCAAATGTAAAACCTGTAAATATAAAAGAAATTGAAGAACCATTGACGCTTTGCTCCTCGTCAGTTGATTCTTCACCAATTCATATTACTAACACATGTTTCAGCAATGTTCACATAGACATTGTTTCATGCAAAACGGTGGCTCCTGGAAATAAACTGTCTAGTGTAACAAGGTTTCGGGATTTCCCGCACTTTTCAATGTTCAGAAAGCTGAGTAGCATCATTCTTCTCTGACTTTTGTATGCAAGTTGCAGATCATTATACAGTGCTTTGTAGAAAATACAGCACTTCTATCCCTATTCATGTTCTTAGGCAATGATGCTTAGGAGTATCACCAATTTGTGTCTTGTCAAGTTAATTTAATCACCTTTACACATTAGAAAGTATTAGAAATATTCTAGTATTGTGCATTGATATTCTTATGAACACACATCATTTAATCAGACTAATTTTTGGGCTGAAATTTTATGGTATGAGATATAAGTACACAAATGTCAAGAGTTTAACCTTCAACAAATAAACAATGTAAGCTGAATGTGGCATATAAAACAAGCTTCTTCAAGTCGCCTCTGAAGAGTCCCAGACTAGGACGAAACAGCCGTCCAGTACTCCCAGCTGGTTTTCCAATGGTTCTCTAACCAATGTCAGCTCATGATGAAATCCTGTAACCAATCAATCAAACCCCCTACAAACCAATATAAGCTTCTTTTAGTTGAATAAATCAAGTAACACAAAAGGGACAGCGATATCTTATTTTATCATTCTCAAGGAGTGTTCCTTATCACCTTTTGATATTTATGTAGACTAAACAAACTAGTCTGGATTTATTCAATTTTTAAGTTGCAAATAATTTCTCACTGTTTATATGTGTCTTCTAGCTGTTTTTTTTTTAAAATTTTCCTCTGTTTATCATCCCTGACCAGTACATTCAGGTAAAAAACTAGCAAATAAGTTAGTATACTGGAAAATCGAGGGACGGTTGCGAGAAATTTCAATATGGCTGTTAAGAAAAGTCCCCGTGATTAGGAATATTCTGCCCTTAAATTTTTGAAGCAGGGAATGCTTTCAAAGAATACTTTACAATACTTTTATTATTTAGAGTATTAACAAACGGAAATAAATTCTAAGTAGAACTTTAGCTTTTTTTTAACACAAATCAGGTGTCATCTTTGTGGATGTAGATTCCTCCACCTTCTTTACCATTGTAGTAACCTATTTAACAGTTATGATATCCTAATCAAGTAATATTTAGATCTTGGGTTCATATGGTGTGATTGGTCTCAAGTTAGGTTCCTTCATAAGCTAACGTCGTGTTTGGAGTAGACGTGGTATCCGGTTGTCGATCAAAGGACCTGTGTACTGCGCAGATACTCGTACCTTTCATTCTGTTTTCCTTAATGGCTGCGAGTGAGACATGACCATTGCAAGTGGAAGACATGAAAGGTTGGCTGGCTAGCTGTCTTTGATCATAGGTGTCTACGTTCTACCTCCCATGTCAAGTGGCATAATAGGGTGAGCATTATTGAGGTTAGGCGTCGAGTGTTCGGTAGAGAGGGTAAGTCAATCGATAAGGTTGTGAAGCTACATCGATTGAGATGGCTTGGACACCCACTTCGAATGGCAAGCCATTGCCTTCCTCGACAACGGGCAATGTTAGCCGACATAGGATTAGGTTGAATAAAAGTTTGGGGTGGTGAAACCAAGACCTGAGATCAGTTCATGAAGTCTTTGACTCTTGGTTTGAGTTATTCATGTAGGAAGGTTTAGACTGCCTTATTGGGATCCTCGGCGTTCTAAGAACCAGTGGCTGAAGACGACTGTTGGTGAGATGGTTCACAATCGTTCTCAATGGCACAGGTGCATTCACTCTCTCTGTAATCTCCTGGATCCATTAAAACCTTTCATGTTTTTCCATGTTAGTATTCTTTCTCCTGCGAATTTCTTCTTATTAAGGTTTCTTCGAATCTATTTTTTTTGATTGCTACGTGGAGTGGAACACTGACTGACTGGCTGGTTTCAACATACAACTTTGCACCAATGTGCAGCAATTCGAATCGCCACACTCCCTCAATTTAGCACACAAAGCAAGAGAAGAAAGTAAAAGGGAATGCAAAATAGAGGCAGTAAACAGAGATATAAGGCAAAAGGAATAGTAATATCGAAGAACCATATAGTTTTATTGGATATTATAAGTCACAAGGAGTGGATGCATCTGCGTCATCCGTTAAGAATGATTTTGAGCCATATCACCAATTGTCTCCAGTCTTCTTACCATCATCGGGAGGTCACCAAATAGGAAGTCTACACCTTCCTACTTGGCTGCCTGGCTTAAACTAACTGTTGTGGATTCCATTGACTGATGCCATGTTTTAGTTTGACCACCAACCACTAGCTGTTTTCTAACAACCTGATCCATCCTATGTCATCTAACATTGGCCGTTGTCGAGGAAGGCAATCGATGGCCAGGGATGCATGCGTAACACATGTCCTAACCATCTCTCTTAGTCGTTGTAACTTCACAGCCTCATCGATTGATTTCCCCTTCCACCTACCTATCACTCGACCGATGCCTAACCTCAATATTGCTTACCCTATTAAACCATTACTTAACACGCGAAATAGAACGCAGGCACCTATGATCAAAGACAGCTAGCTAGGCTTTTCATGTCTTCCACTCTCAATGGAGTGTAACAACTCAAACTGCTGCACTTCCTTACAAAGTCCTATGTTGAAACGCATCCAGTCAGTCGATCACTCAGTGAAGACATTGTTTATTTGTGGCACTGCATCAAAGTTAACTACTTCTACAGCAATCCTGGATATATACAATAAAAATTCATTTTCTCTCCCTGTAATCAGCATATACCCCTTTCATTCATTTCGACCAGTATGATGTAATCTTTTGATTATTGTATGTTTATTTTTTGTTTTGATTTTAGGTAATTTATACAAACCTACTCGTCTAATTAGACAATGGAGGGTGTTCTGTTAAAATGGACAAATTATGTTAGCGGTTGGCAACAACGATACTTTATTCTCGATGATGGAGTTCTCTCCTATTATCGATCGAAAGAAGAAATGGATAGTGGTTGTAAAGGCTCAGTTAAATTATCTGTATGCGATGTTATAGGTAGGCTAGTGAATTATAAATTCGAACAATTTACTTTCCCCTGTCTGTATCTAGTTCATAGCTCAGACGCACGAAGATTTGACTTAATCCTTGGTGAACAACGCTATTATTTACGTGCTTTATCACGTTCTGATCGACAAAGATGGGTTGTAGCACTTGGTAATTCTAAAGTGGGAAATGTACCGCTAAAGTGTGAAGATGTAAATGTATGCGGTAAGTAAACAAAAAAATTTGTGAGCCTATCTAATAATTTTTCCTTTTGCAAGTAGAATATATTCACCACACATTACTTTTTTTTGGCAGCTTTATTGATTAAAAAACTCAATGTTTTTTCCCATTAACCAAGTGCATTTTAGAAATATGAAGAGTTTTTTCAATAGAATAACTTTGTTCCTACTAACGTCGAGAGTTGATTAGTTAGGTTTTGTTCCTATCGGCTCTCATCAGCATGGGACATCTGGTCTGTCAATAAACAGGAAACTTAAGTTCAGGATTTTTTTCCCAGTTACCTCCAACCATTGAAAATTAATTCAAAGTGAACAGTGAAGGCGAGTTACCATACTGCTAACTTCACTGGTTCCATAGCCTCTGTCAAGTGAGCGTCATGCACTACCTTTACGAGTTACGACGAATGCGAAGTCTGGAGCTCATAATCACAATGGTGGACATGCAGGTCTATCTGAGGTGAGGTATCTAGAAAGCCCTGATTCCAAACCTGTGTTGGCATAGATGGGCTCCAGAATCCGAGAAGAGAGAATAGTGTACGAACCTGTTTCGTTCCCTGGAAATCATGGGAACGCAACTCCTTTTGCCTTGCAGATCAGATTTCAATTCAAAGGTTCTGTGGCGCGGCGAGGGATATTCCCTTAGGACAACCACCTGCTTTAGTCTGATCGTCCAGGTAGTATCTCAGCCGATCTCTTGGTCCCCAAATTTGTGTTTTAATCATATAATAATTATTTCTTCGTTCTCTTCAGTATGCTGACATTTAATGGAGCAGTCCTAGTTTAATACAGCCCTGACACTGAAGGGGAGGAGCTCTGAAAAGAATCCCCCTCGAAAATGGCTACCCAGAACATTTGATCACAAATTCCATGAAGCCTAAACCACTAAAATTACGCACAGTTTTTACTCCCAAAACACTTCTTTATCTGAATATAAAATTTAATGGAGATTCATCAGCAGAAATACTGAGAAACCATCCATTGGCATAAAACTTTCGTGACTGAACTTCGACTTTCTCTACAAAGCTAATGATTCGCATGAACGTCAAGGATAAGGTACCACTGCTGGCTGGCCTTATCAGTGTGTATCTACCAATTCACTTGCTCCTGTGGAGCTCGGTATGTCAGCCGTACCCAGCGTTTGCTATCCGAACGTATCATCGAACACTTACCAACAGTCATGCTTTTATAAAGCAGAAAAAAGATACCCTCTCTCCAGCCACAGCACCTCTATCCTGGAACGTGTGATTGAATTTGGGCACCAAGCAAACCCACAGCGGAACTTCAAAGTTATCTAGAGAATATATGGGAATCCTGCTAAAAGGGCACGAATCAAACTTTTTCAAACCCCGAAGAAGCAATGACAAAAGAAGCTTATTTAGTCAATAAGTCTTCAATGGATCTGATCTGTTTCAACATCAAATAAGTAATTTTTGTGTTTTTTCTTTCTTTCTTAATTGTATTATTTTCTTTGCTCACCCCCCTTCTATTAAATTTCTACCCCTTATTAACACTCTTGTCAACTTGACACGTTCAATTTTAGTTAAATGCTACTCAATCCCGTCACTTATGTTATGTCGCTCAGCTTGCTTATTGAATTTTTACTTTAGGTGCTACCCGGTTAAGGCTCTTGGCATTACGTAACTTGTTTTATAAACGATTTAGAATTCTAACGAAACACCCTTGGAAATATTCTTTTTTCAAGTATTGGTTTTTGTAGGGATTTTGTTTGATTGGTTGGAGGATTTCATCATGAGTTGACATCAGTTAGAGAACCATTGGAAAGCCAACCAGGAGTACTGGACAGCTGTTTCTTCAGTTTCATTCGGGACTCTTCAACAGTACGCACCTACCAAGACCTTCTCGTTACAAGGTTAGCGAGCTCACTAGCCCTATTCACGCAGTGACCTGGACTTCTAGTGGAAGGCCGTAACCAGCAGGCTGAAGGTGAGGCGGTAACTCATTAAAGAAGAAGACATTGTCTAGTGGTCGCACTATGTCATGAATTGGCAGAAGTTGGAATTCATGGGCTGGCTGGCTATTGGGTCTACGAGCTTGCTAGCCTTGTGACCAGAAGGTCCTGGGTTCGAACCCCGGCGGTGGGTACGTAGTATAGAAGAGTCCCAAACTAGGCTGACGAAACAGCTGGCTGTACAGTACTCCCAGCTGGTTTTCCAATGGTTGTCTAAATGATGTCAACTCATGATGAAATCCCATTATGGGTAAATTTTATTTTGATAAAGTCTCACAGTGTTATACAGTAATGTTTACTGATGACAACTTTTCGAGCACAATTTATTGCCGCTTATAATCATATCAAGGTAATCACACGACTTCCTAAATTCATTTATATAATTCCCTTGTTTTTCACTTGATTTGATTGGTAGTAATATTTTCCATATTTCGGGTATCAGTGATGAATCATTCCTATTGCATGTGTTGGGTGTAGATTACTCGATGAACAAGGATTCAGTAATCAACCTCTCTCTCCACCTACCTATATTACTTTTTAGAATTTTAACCCTCTCCCACCTTATTGTGTGGTTGTGTGTTAATGCATGCATTGCAATTGCTGAGCTTTTTTCTAAATTACTTGTGTTCTCTAGGTTAACCATTCTTACCTTAGGTCAATTCTTATGTTCTGACAATCTGACTACCCCTGACCTACTAGTTTGACCTATGTATTTGACCCCACAGTCATTGCAGAGTATTTTGTAAATGATATTATTTTGTCTAATTGGGTCAACTGACAGGGTCCTTTAACATACAGAGCTTGTCCTACCTGAGTGAGTTTGTAGGTTTAAATGCCACTCCAATTCCTGCTTTATTTAGAATCCTACGTGGGGTCTCAGATGTCCCCTCCTTATATGGTATAACTGTAGATGACTTATATTCTCTCTTATTTATGTTATTATTCCTGAATCCTTGTTCATCGAGTAATCTACACCCAACACATGCAATAGGAATGATTCATCACTCATACCCAAAATATGGAAAATAATACTACCAATCGAATCAAGTGAATAACAACGGAATTATATAAATGAATTTAGGAAGTCGTGTGATTACCTTGATATGATTATGAGCATTAGTGATAAATTGTGTTCGAAACGTGGTCATCAGTAAACATTACTGTATAACACTGTGAGACTTCATCAATATAAAAATCTACCCATAATGGAATTACACTCTACCACAGTGCACAAGTTTTATTCTCATATCAATGGTCATGATGAAATCCCCCAACCAATCAAATATTCTTCTTGTCTCTATGATAATTTACTCTCTCTCTCTCTCTCTATATATATATATATATTTATATGTATATATATATATCTGCGACTGTATAGTTTGAGAATGATATCTCTGAAGAGACGAGTAACTCTTCACTGAACATCTTTTTTCTTTTCTTATAACATTTAATACCCTAGAGAAAGGAGCTTATATATATATGTTTACATTTTCTTTTGTTTATGTATAGAACCATCACAAGCGCAATCAATTGATAGCCATCGTTCTGAATTACGTCTATATCATAATTTAATGGTTCAACAAGTGAAAGAAATCCAGAATAATTTAAAAGAAGATAAAATTCCCGATATGAATGTACGTGTTTGTGGATGTTTTCTCCTTTTTTTTAATTCCCCTAACTGGTTTTTTTGTATTTGGTCATTTTTTTATAGGATTTCAATTTGCTGACATTCATTATGTTTAACACTGATTAAAAGTGTATATATAGTATACCTGTCATATACGTATAAGAGTATGTCAAGAATATGCAATTTGAACTGGTGATATAGGCAGTTTTGATTGAAAAAAACTTATTTTTCACTGAGGGAATGAAAGAAAGGCGTGTAACCAATTTGTCAGTAAAAAATTAACACCATCCAAAAGGAATATTTCTTTATTGTGTACTATGCAATGACATAATATATGACACTTGCTGTCTTAATCTTGTCCACACTTCTGGTTATATTTTGAGGTGTGTAGTGAGTTTTGCAATCAGCTCAGTTACTATTGTTATTAGTATTATTATTGTTCCCGCAGGTTCCTAGTGGAACATAGGGCTTCGGCAGCACATCCCCACTTTGTCCTATTCCCTGAGGCTCTATTTAGCTGACTCCACGACTGTCCGTAGTCTATTATCTCCTCCTCCTCCTCACACGATCTCCTCCATGTGACCGTTTTTACTTTCCATTTCCACTGGATTGTTCTTGATTGGTTTGTTCCCACAGTTTCTTGTTGCCATTTCTTTCTGGTCATTTCATCTTCAACTGTGTAGAGCCAGTGAGGGATGCAGCTGTTTATAAAAGTCTGAAGTGGTCTGTTGGAAATGTTTTTCGTGACGCGCTGACCAAGTTTCAGACGCGTATACAATGAGCTAATCTAGCATTGGTGTAGAAAATCCGAATTTTTGTTGTTTACACTGTGGAGTTCAAAATATTTCTGAAGTGATTTCAAATTGATTAAGGTCTGTCTCGCCTTTGCGATTTTGTTTTTGATGTCATACCGACTGTCTGTAGTTGAAACGATGCTGCCTAGATAAGTGAAAGAAATGACCTCCTCTTAAATTTCTCCCGTTGATGTTGATTCGTGCTGGTTGTTGTCGTTGATTGGTTGTCTTCATCACCTCTGTCTTCTCTATGTTCACCTGGAGTAGTGTTTTTTTGCTGCCTGCCTCTTCTGCCACTTTGTTGGTAAGTTTTCGAGTTTGTGTGTGTGATATTAGGTGTAAATTATGCTTAAAATCCAGATCTTCTAGAGTTCTCTCATCGGTCCAACGTACTCTTGCGATCGTGGACCCAGCTGAAGAGGACGGGAGAAAAGAGAACAAGGTGGGGATTTGTTGTTGAAGCCCTATGTTCCACTCTGAACGCAAAGGAATAATAATAATAAATGTGAAGAAATATGGAAAGCTTTGGACGCTAGTAATTATGCCTATGTTCGAGCATCTGTCGATGGGTAAAGATATGATGATCAATACACCACCCTCTTTCTAGCCTAAAGCCTGTCTGATTTTCTATCTCGAGCAGCAATTAACCTCCGCCTGATTATTGAGTCTAAAACTTAAGATACTATGTTAGTCAAGTTAATCCCCTTGTGATCGTTACAGGCAACTTCGTCTGCCTTCTTATAAATTGAGATAATGAATGACTTACACCAGTCTAATGGAACTATTTCTGATTCCCAGACATTGCCTAATATCACAGTTAAGCCAGACAAACAGTTTATCACCACCGGGCTGAAACACGTCTGTAAACAATCCATCAGGGTAGATTAGAGACAGCTTTTACAATCTCGGTTACAGTTATGTTATTATTATTATTGTTCCCTTGGGTTCCTCGTGGAACATAGGGCTTCAGCTGCACGTCTCCACTTACTTCTGTTTTCTACTGTACTTTTCACTTGCATCCATGTTAGTCCATACTGTTTCAACTCCTCTTCACACGATCTCCTCCATGTCACCCATGGACGTCCCACTCGCCGCTTACCTTTCGGGTTGCACTCCAGCGTTGGCCTGACGCGCGATTTCACCCGGCGGCCTCCTCCATTTTCTCCTGCATATTTGTTGGTTGGCGATTGGTTCTTGTTTTGTTTGTTCCCATAGTTTCTTGTTGGTTGTTGTTCTTTCCTGCCATCCGATCTTCAGTATAGAGCGAAGGTAGTTGTTAATAAAGGTCTGCAGCCTGTTGGAAATATTCTTTGTGATCCGCCAAGTTTCTGATCCGTATAGAAGAACTGACTGACTTGACGTTTGTATTGAAAATCCGAATTTTGTTGTTGATGCTGAAGAGTGACGAAGATTTCCAGATTGGTTTCAGATTGATGAATGTGTTTGTCGCCTTTACGATTCTCGGTTTGACATCCTCGTCCGTCTGTTCCTCCTGTAGTTGAGACAATGCTCCCTAGATAAGTGAATGAAGTAACCTCTTTCAAATCCCTCCCGTTGATGGTGATTGGCACTGGATGTTGCTGCTGCTGTTGTTGTTGGCGGTTGGTTATTTTCATAACCTCCGTCTTGTCTATGTTCACCTGCAGTCCTGTCTTCTCTGGCTGCTTCTTCGACCAGTTTGTCGGTTTTCGCTTGTAAGTCTTCGATTTTGTATGACATCAAACATAAATCATCCACGCGCGAAATCTAGGTCTTCTAGGTTCTTCACATCGGTCCAGGATATCCTCTGTCTTCTCGTTTCCCACTGTCTGACGCAGTGGGCGAGGTTCGGTTTCAGTTGGAGATCCGTTTTCCTCTTTGTCATTCTGCCTTGTATATATTTTGTGTGTATATATGCTTGTAATATGATGTCTCTCTCCCTTTCTCTCTTTTATGTTCTCTCATTTAATACATCAGCGTATCAATGAATTAACTAGTATGCTGAATGCATCCTGTTCAACATTTCTATTAGCACTGGATGAACTTATGATTTTGAGTAATGCTCAAGCTCCATGGTTAAGTTCAATTGTGACAGGAACAAACTTGGAGCCAAGTTCTCCTAAAACATTCCGAAATACAACAACAACAGCTGCAATAACAATGACAAGTAGTCCTACTACATTAACAATTACTGACTCTACTGGTCAGTATTCACCAAATCTGCGTTATACACCTAATCATCATCATAATAATAGTAATAATTTATTAGGGTAAGTATAAAATCTTCACTTTTTTTATTTTGATCAGTAAATATGACCTCCTTCACTGTGTCATGTTTCACTGGCTCAATGGTCACTGAGCTGGCCTAGGTATGTGTGTTTTGTACTCATTGAAAGTTTTAGAGGGAAAAGAACAAGAAGTTCAGCAACTGAGATGGCGATCTTTTCGGCGATTTCATTCTCAAAAACGAAGGAGATAATAATTTTCAACTTGATATGAAAGTTTGAAGGTACGAATATAGAGATTACAAGGGGCTTAGAGACAAGATTGATTGCATAGGATTAGAAGACAGCTACAATGTATGCAAAATTAATATTTGATAACTGGAGAAATAATAGTTTTAAAGGCAAATAAAAGGTGACATTAATTATTTTCAACTTGATATGGATTATGAGGAGAGGCTTTGAAACAACAGTTGCTCAGGGATAGAACGAATCACAGGTGTGAACAAACAAAATGAGCATGGAAACAAATTGAAATCAAAATTTTTTCAACTCGCCATATGCATATGGCAAGAGCTTCCGCATCGAAAAGCCGGTGCTGTATGTTCAAAAGAAACTAGTCCAGCCCTAAGAACTACCATCGACCTAGTTCGGTATGTTCCCTTAATCCTTCCGTTATTTTGTTTTCAGTTATAAAATCAGTTATTTTAAGTTTGTTTCCATGCTTCTCCTGATCACACTTGTAATCCGTTTAGAATAACTATTTCACAATTATATTCTAATCCTGTGTAATTTTTTTGTTTCTATACCTCTTGTAATCTATATTCACATACCTCCTAACTTACATTTCAAGTTGAAAATTTTGATTTCAAATAATAGAGAAGATTTGTAGCTCAGGTGAATGATTTGCAATTAATAGTGTTCTCTAAGCTGGTTGGTTTGGTTACTGAGCTTTCGTCGTCCTTCTGAACAACATCTTCAGCGCAATATTTAACATAAAGTGAAATGATTTAAATTTCTTCATGAGTGATATAATTGCGTCTCCCGGTAACTATCTTTACATAAAATGTAAATCAGGTGATCAGAGAGTTTAAAATCCAAGTCAATAGAAAATGGTCAATACATATGTAAGGATGGTTACCGGGAGACGCAATTATATTGTGGTGAGTGCTACTTATAATCCGATATAAGTAGTATATCGGAAACGAAGTAACAATATGTTTGGCACACTGGAAAGAGCAATCAAAGAAGAGAACCATGAGAAGAATGTTGCCATATGATCCAAGAAGCTATCGAATGAGACGATATTCGACCAATTTGTCAAGGATGTGGTAAATGATGTGCAAATGACCGGTTGAGAATATGGTATACCACGTTTAGCTATGTACCATACGTTTCACCAAATAAACATTCCTTTCACCCTCCTCAGTTTTGTCTTCTTTACAATATCACTCATGAAGAAATTTAAATCATTTCACTTTATGCTAAATATTGCGCTGAAGATGTCATCCAGAAAGGCGACGAAAGCTTCGCAACCAAACCAACCAGCTCAGAGAACACTTCTAATTGTAAATTTTGATTTCAATTTGTTCCCATGCTCATTTTGTTTGTTCACACCTGTGATTCGTTCTATCCCTGAGCAACTGTTGTTTCAAAGCCTCTCCTCATAATCCATATCAAGTTGAAAATAATTAATGTCACCTTTTATTTGCCTTTAAAACTATTATTTCTCCAGTTATCAAATATTAATTTTGCATACATTGTAGCTGTCTTCTAATCCTATGCAATCAATCTTGTCTCTAAGCCCCTTGTAATCTCTATATTCGTACCTTCAAACTTTCATATCAAGTTGAAAATTATTATCTCCTTCGTTACTATGTGGAATTAAATAAATAAATAATAATTGTATCCATGTAAACTAATTAATGTGTATAAATGCGATTGTACAGCTGGTTTTGAGAATGAAATCACCGAAAAGTTATCACTGAAATATCCCTACCAACTAACTCTTGAGAATTAGTCCGTTACGGGCTAGTGTGACTAGTTTACAGGACAAATTTGCCTGTAATGTATTCTAGTGGGAAGAGTTGTGACCGATAGGTTCCACCCAATCGGCATTGAGGACAAACACTCGTCAGCGATGACATTGGCTCGTGCCATTTAGCGCTAAAATCACGAATTAATGGAAGGTAGAATTCATGGGTTGGCGACTGAGTCAGTTTTCAGTGGCTGAATGATTGGTCTACGAGTTTGACTTACAACCGGAAGGTCCTGGTGTATACTGCCGACGAGTCCCAAATAAGGACGAAACAGCTGTCCAGTACTCTCCCTATTGGTTCTCTAACTGACGTCAATCTGTGGCCAAACTTCCAGATTGAGTAAATTCCCATTACTTTTTCTCCCATACATTTGCAGCGTTTTAATTTTAGTTTCTGTTCTGTACATTTACGTATGAGTACTTTTCAGAAATATGGCAAGTTGAACAACTGCTAGTGCACTTTTGTGTTGCTTTTATTCATATTCTTACTGGGCAGTTGATTTCCCGATTGTTTGTTAACTTTTTGAAAGTCATTGTTTGCTGGTCGTTGACATGGTTACCGTAGTTTAAATTCCCCTGTTAGATTTAAATCTATTTTGTATTAGTAAATACATATAAATATTAATATATGTGAGTAAAACGTGGATAGCAATGTGGTAGTATGTAATTCCATGCAAGTTTATCGATTGGATATATCACACACACACAGTATTATTTACTGGATGACGATGTTTCTCATGAAAATCTATTGTTCATAATCATATCCATTCTACTAACTATTATTATTATTATTATTACTATTGTCCCCTTGGGTTCCGAGTGGAAAATAGGGCTTCAACAACACATCTCCACTTTTTTCTATTTGCTGCTGTCCTCTCTTTAGCTGGGCCCAAGAGTATCCATAGTTTCTCATCTCCTCCTGCTCACTTGATCTCCTCCATTTCACCCTCGCACCGAAGACTCACTCATCGCTTCCCATTCGGGTTCCACTCGAGCAGTGACTGTCTGACTTCACATTAGCGTTGAAAAAAATCCGAATATTTTTCTTTATCCTGGCTGAGTGAGTGAAGCAGAAGATTTCCAAACTGGTTTCATTTTGATGAAGGCGTATCTCGCCTTTCCGATTCTGGCTGACCTGCTTTGATATCTTCATCCGTGACGTCCTCCTGTGGTTGAAACGATGCTTTCTAGCTAGATAAGTGAAGGAAGTAACCTCTGTTAAATCTCTCCCGTTGATGGTGATTGGTGCTGGTTGTCGTTGCCACTCTCCGACAGATCCTAGAACATAGACACACTTTTCAGCGTCCAGCAATTGCCATATTTCTTGACTTGAAGGCGGCCTTCAACTCCGTGAATCGAAAGGTACTATGGCAATGTTTGACTGTGAAGGGAGTGCCAAGAAAGTACATTACACTAATCAACGCACTGTACTCAAACTCACGTAGCTGTGTAAGGGCTTATGGGGAATTGTCATCTGAATTGATAACAACCAGTCGTGTCCGTCAAGGATGTCCACTTTCCAAATTTCTGTCTAACTTCATCATAGATATGCTAATGAAAGCATCCTTAACTGAACTTAACGACTTAGGAATCGACTTGTTACCAGGGAATAGTCTTATGGACTTAGAATATGCAGGTGACATAGTCCTGTTAGGGGAGGATGCTGACAAAATACAGAGTCTTCTGAACACCTTGAGAAGCAATCTTCGTATGTTTGGCATGCGATTCGCCCCTGTAAAATGTAAGATTCTGCTACAGGACTGGACTACGTCAACTCCTAGCTTAGTGATAGGGAGTGAAGTGATAGAACATGTTGACCACTTCACCTATTTGGGAAGTTGTATCAGCACCAACGGACTGATTGGCGACGAAATCTCAGCACGGATCCAAAAAGCTCGAGCTGCTTTCGTTAACTTACACCATCTCTGGCGTAGGCGTGACATCCGGCTATCAACCAAGGGACGTGTGTACTGCTCAGCAGTTCGCTCCGTCCTTCTCTATGGCTCTGAAACATGGCCAATATGAGTTGAAGACATGAAAAGGTTGACTGTTTTTGATCATAGATGTCTACGATCTCTTTCTCACGTTAGGGTGGCATAATAAGGTAAGTAATGTTGACGTCAGGCGTAGAGTGTTGGGCAAAGAGGGAAAATCAATCGAAGAGGCTATAAAGTTACATAGATTGAGATGGCTAGGTTACGTGCTGCGCATGCCTAACCATCGCCTCCCCCTCCCGACGGGCATTACTAGCTGATATAGGTGCAGGTTGGAAAAGAGTAAGTGGTGGCCAAACAAAAACATGGCCTCATCAATCCATGAAATCCTTGACAGTTAAACTGAGTCAGGTAGGGAGGGAGATGCAGACTTCCAGGTTGGGGCCCTCGGGACTCTAAGAATCAATGGCTGGAGGCAATAGGTGACATGGCTCAAAATCGTTGTCAATGGCTAACGCAGATGTATTCAGTCTCTGTAATCTTTCATATTCCTTTCTACCATTACTCATTCTGTTTCACTCTTATACTTGTCAAAACTCTATTGATTCTCTTCACTCATTTTCTTGTCTACCTTTGTGTGCTCTTTGGAACGTGGCAACTCGAACTGCTGGACTTCGGTGCCAAGTTCTATGTTGAATCCAGACAGGCAGGTTGTGGTTGCTGTTTCTGCTGTTCACAGTGGTTGGGGTTATCTTCATCACCTCCGTCTTGTCTATGTTCACTTGGAGTCCTGTCTTCGCTGCCTGCATCACCTCTTCAGTCAGTTTGTTGTTGGTTTTCGCCTGCAATTCTTCTAGTTTGTTTGACACTAAACATAAATCGTCCACACGCGAAATTGAGATCTTCTAGAGTCTGCTTATCTGCCTGTCCAACGTATTCCTGTCTCCTCGCTCCTTTTGCACAGTCTGTCGCATAATCCTCCAGTTCACCACAACTGAGAATATTAAGGTGCGTGATAATAGGCAGACAGCCTTGTCTTACTCCTGTCGTCTTCACTTTGAACGCCTCGCAAAATTTTCCTCTGTGGATCACCTGACACATGGCAGGCATTGTCATATAGCCAGCTGTTGAATGAGGTTGATGATGAGGCTATTGTTCTTGCCTTACTTTTTTTTCTATTAACCTCTTTGTATAACATTGTACTGTGAATATTTTAAAAATTCTTTGTTTCCCTGTTTTTTCTTTCTTTACTAATTCATATACATTTGTAGGTATACTTCAAGTCCTCTGCTACCCCCCGATTCCTGCTTTCAAAATTCACGTACACAGTCAATAAATCGTCGTCAATTTTCAGCTTCACGAAAATATCAAACATTCTTTTCCACATTAGAGTATAGGTAAGTGGATTTCCCCTTTTTTGTGATAGTGTTTTAGATGAATATTTAAGTTTATATATTTGGTGGATAGTGTGAGTAAATAATCTTTAAAGTTCAACTCTGGTTAGACAGAAATGAACAGTTGCTCTGATAGGACTTTTAACAATAATAATAATGAAATTAATAAAGAGTTAAGAGGTGAGAAAATGAAATACCTAGGTCAAGTTAAAAAGACATATTGAAGGTCAAAATAACAGTGAAGATCACTACACCAAATAAGAGGGGTATTAGTACATCTGCTATGGTGTCAAAACAAAATTTACCAAGGAAGGTTTAATGTGATGACGAATTGTTTTTGAAGGCATAAAGGTGGCTTAAACTTTCTAATTGCTAGGGCTTCCACAAACTTTAGGATACGCCCTCCACCAAACACGTTTTATAGATGGGTTTAAAAGATGTGTTAACGTCAATTTTATGTCCTCTCTGTATTAAATGCTTCGCAATAGAGGAGCTAGGTCTCCTGTTCTCACCGTTAATGGGTTCTGAAGATTCTTTTTGCTTCTGGAGCCATTCAGGAATATGCTCTGAAGCCAGCCCTTACTTCCAGAGATCGATGAGTCCTCCCCATGTGTATGTGTGTCCACACGTACATTCAAATTGGTAAATACAGTGGGATGTGACATCATTTTTCACATGTTCAAATGGCTTAGGTATATATATTGGCTTCACATTCTCAACTATTATGATATGAGCTGAATAAAAAGTCTTTGACCACAGCAGTGTTCAATCTTTGTCTAGTTATCAAGCTGCTATGAGGCCCCAAATAGGGCAGCTTGATGTACAGGTCTTTCTTAGGGGCGAGTTGGAGAATGGGTCTTGGTGTTCTGCCTACTTTATATCTCCTGATGAACTTGTCTGGATAATTGTTATCAACCGGAGTTTGTGTAAACTTTCTTTCTTCTTCATCAAGTGTGTCTTCAGTGCATATTCGTTGGATCCTACTGAAGAGAGGTACCTTACTAAGGCTCTTTAGTACAGAACAGGGTAGAAAGTGTGGTAATTGAGATACTGTCCTGTCCAGGTAGGTTTTCTATATGAATAGATCGTTTTATTGACCCATCAAGCCGTCGACTAAGCAATATGTCTAGGAAAGATAAACAATTATCTTCCTCTTCTACAGACAGATGTAAGTGATATGCTATTCTGAACTTCATTCATTCGATTTAAAATTGAGGTGACAGAACAAGGCTTATCACTGATGATTACAATATCATCTACATACCTTCTATAAAGTTGCACATTTTCGATTAAATCCTCCAATAAATTCTCAATGTACGACATATAGATATCTGCTGAAAGGGAGGGGCCCTAACGGACTTCCCATAGCAACACCATCAACTCGGCGGAAACAATCGCCTTCAAATGTAAATCTAACATTGTTAGTATATAGAAGTAATAAATCCCTTAAATAAGATATAGGTATAAGATATAAGTAAAGGCACATTAGTGAATAGAGAGTTTACATCAAAAGAGTACATATTCCTATTCATAATACTAATATCATCGAGAAAGTTAACCAGTTCAAATGTATCTTTTAATACATGCTTACATAATAATAATAATAGTTATATTCTTGAAATAACTATTTGCTTGGGCCTAGGGGAAAGTCATGACCTATGGAGTTCATCAGGTGGTTGGTGGTGCGCTTCACATAGCGAATTTGCAGTGGTTGTGTCGTTAGAATTCACACTTTATTGAGTTCCAGCTCATATGGTTGAATGGTCAATGCGCTGTCGTCTTGTAACTTGAAGGTTCCGGGTTCCATCCCTGTCTATGGAGTCATGGATACGTACCCTGCTAATGAAGTGTATACAAAGTAGGACGAAACAGCTGTGTACAGTACTACTCCTGAGTGGTTTTCAATCGTTCTCTAATCAATATCATTCCATGATCAAATTTGCATTTATACAGAGTACGGGATTCTCAGCATGTTATATACAGCAGAGTATATGCTCCTTGTGCGTCGGTGGCTTAGGGGTAGGACGCTCACCAACCACTCATGTAGTCTGAGATCCGATCATTGGGTGGTGACGCAATCCTTTGCCTCACCAAGCCGATAATAAGCCCGCTAATAAAGGAACGTTGGGCATGAGGCTGGCTAGCAATCCCATCAGGTTAAAATAAACACCACTGCTATCGAAACTTCGAAGCTGTCCAGCTTGAAGCCTTATATTCCACTGAGAACGTAAAGGAATAAATAAAAATAAAATAATCATTGGAAGTAAATTGGTGGGTGGTGACTAGCAGTAGAGTCCTCCAGGATGCGCATTACGTCCTATTTGGGACTAGTCATCAGCTAGTGGATGATGTACCTGCATTCCTCCCACGGTTAGTGAATGAGTGAGACTTAAACCCAGTGTACCCATCGTTTCAAACACCAAAGCGTTGTCCACTAGACCACCAGATGAGTCACGAGAGCCAAATCTTTCTTGTGCAGCGGGTATGAATAATTATTTATTTCAACTTGGACTTTCACGTGGATAACGCTTTGGTGTTTGAAACGATGTGTACTCTGGGTTCGAGCCTCAGTGGGGGGTAGGGGTGGGAATGCAGGTACATCATCCACTAGCTGATGATGACTAGTCCTGAATAGGACGAAATGCGCATCCTGGAGGACTCCACTGATAGTCACCCCCCACCAATTCCCATCAAAAGTGTGAATACATAAAATAATAATAATAATAGTAATATTTGTTATGAAATGCAATTAAAATGTTTGTGATTATAATCATAGTTGAGTGTCAAGTGGCAAAACAATTAATGTCATATATGGAATAATTCATAAGATGTTGGAAAGGGGTGTATAATTGAAGGATTGGTAGGCTAATATAAAACGTTGCATAACATGGTGTGAAATTCGATAAGATAGAATTCAACATAGTAAAAACAATGTTTTTTGGATTTCGAACGACAAGTGGTACAAGCGGAAGTAATTCATAGTGAGAATAGTAATAGCGATGATAATAATAATGATAATCGTAGCTATGAGGGATAGGTACATAGATTAACTAAATAAACAAAATAAATAAATAAATGTATATCCGTCTGCGACCAAGCCAAAGGTAGGGATTGTACATATTTCTTTTGTACCCAAAGGTCTACCTTAAATTCATAAATGGCTAGTTGATATTAGTGATAACCGTACCTAAACAGACTCCCCAAATGCCTAGCGGTCGCATCACAAATCGCGAATTGAAATAAATTACAATTCATGGCTAATTAGATTCCTGTCAAATTGGTTAGTTGTTCAAGAAGCTTAGCCTCATAACCTGAAGTTTTTAGGTTTGATCTCCGGTAGGGTCGTGTGTGGGTGGGTACTACTGAAGAGTCTATGACTGAGACGAAACAACTGGCTATGCAGTCAGTCTGTGATCAATCTAACTCTTTATTTTATTATATATTATATATATTGCTTATTCGAAGGCTTGATGGTTCATTAAAAAGATCTATTCATAGAAAACCTACCTGGACAGGACAGTATCTCAATTACCACACTTTCTACCCTGTTCTGTACTAAAGAGCCTTAGTAAGGTACCTCTCTTCAGTAGGATCCAACGAATATGCACTGAAGACACACTTGATGAAGAAGAAAGAAAGTTTACACAAACTCCGGTTGATAACAATTATCCAGACAAGTTCATCAGGAGATATAAAGTAGGCAGAACACCAAGACCCATTCTCCAACTCGCCCCTAAGAAAGACCTGTACATCAAGCTGCCCTATATGGGGCTTCATAGCAGCTTAATAACTAGACAAAGATTGAACGCTGCTGTTAAAAAGACTTTTTATGCAGCTAATATCATAATAGTTGAGAATGTTGAGCCAATATATCCATCTAAGCCCTTTGAACATGCGAAGAATAATGTCACATCCCACCATATTTAGCAATTTGAATGTACGTGTGGATACACATACACATGGGGAGGACTCATCGGTCTCTGCAAGTAGGGGCTTCAGAGCATATTCCTAAATGGCTCAAGAAACAAATGGAATCTTCAGAACCCGTTGACGGTGCGAACAGGAGACCTAGCCCTTCTATTGCGAAGCATATTATAGAGGAGACAGGACATAAAATTGACGTTAACAGATCTTTTAAACCTATCTAGAAAACATGTTTGGGGCGTAACCTAAAGTTTGTGAAAGCCCTAGCAATTAGAAAGTTTAAGCCACCTTTATGCGTTGAAAAACAATTCGTTATCACATTAAACCACCTTCCTTGGTAAACTTTGTTTTGATACCAGCCGGAGCAGATGTAGTATTACCTCTGCTATTTTGTTTAGTGGTCTTCATTGCTATCTCTTACCTTGAATATGTCCTTTCAACTTGACCTAAGTCTATTTTCTCACCCATCTCTTACCTCTTTATTAATTTCTATATATATATTCCTATGACAAGTCCGTGTGTGACAGATCAGGTTATTCGAAATGTGTTGAGCAAATACAAGATTACACGATTCAGACAAATTACGTCTTCTTATTGCTTTATCTAAATTCATAAAGGGAACTAATTGTTTTCTATATTATTTCCTTTACATTTCTACAGTTTTGAAGATATTCGACCATCACTACCTGTGATGAAAACGTCATCATCATCAGCAGCAACAACAACACCATCTTCATCAGATAATGATGAAATTAAACTTCCCGGTGATTATATCTCAGCATTGGAATTAGTTAAAGCCTCCAAGTGTTTATTCAGCTTTCTTGACCGTCTGAATAACAATACATCGAATAGTCATTTTGCAGCATCACGTACCTACACAGCTCTACAACAAGTTCGACGTCAGTTGATTGATTATTTGCATTGTATTGAGGTGAATGTTGAAGTGTACGCCAATGCTGGTGCAGAAGATGAAAGAGAAGGAGGGGGAGGTATGAATGGTACGATGATGAATAGTGTCAAGGATACTGCCGCTGAAAAGAGAGAGAATGGCGGTGGTGGCGCCGTCGGCGGTGATATCGTTGAAAAGAATAACTGTGATATTTTATTCAAAAAAGCTCAATTAAGTATTGGTTATCTTATTCGAAATGAAGTGAAGGCGAAAACAAGTCAAGAGGAGAATTCAGTCTATCATGCTATTCTACACTTGTGCAGGTGAGTGAGTGAGTCAGTAAATGTGTGAAGGGATGTATTATTGCTGATGTATTTTCGTTTTAATGCTTGTCAAATCCATCACCATCAACGGGAGGGGGATTTCATGAAAGAGGTTACTTCATTCACTTACTTATCTAGCTACGGAGCATTGTCTCAACTACAGTGAGGAAGGGACGGACGAGGATGTCAAATCGAGAATCGGGAAGGCGAGAAACACATTCATTAAACTGAAACCAATATGGAAATCTTCGTCACTCCTCAGCATCAACAACAAAATTCGGATTTTCAATACAAACGTCAAGTCAGTTTTGCTATATGGATGAGAAACTTGGCGGGTCACAAAGAATATTCCTAACAGCCTGTTGCAGACCTTTATCAACAACTGTCTTCGTTCTATACTGAAGATCAGATGGCCGCTGGAAATAATCACCAACAAGAAACTATGGGGACAAACAAAACAAGAACCAATCGCTCAATATACATGCAGGAGAAGGTGGAGATGGATTGGACACTCGGTGAGGAGGCAGCTGGGTGACATCGCGCGTCAGGCCAGTGCTCAAGTGGAACCCGAAAGGGAAGCGGCGAGTGAGACGTCCAAGGGTGACATGGAGGAGATCGTGTGAAGAGGTGCTGAAGCAGTATGGACTAAGATGGATGCAGGTGAAAAGTACAGCACAAGACAGAAGCAAGTGGAGGCGTGCAGTTGAAGCCCTATGTTCCACTAGGAACCTAAGGGGAAAGTAATAATAAAAAATGTAAGATTGTGGTGTTTCACTTTAGGACTGGACTAACACTGTCTCGTAGATTAAAGATAGGCAGTGATGGAGTGGTTGAGCATGTTAATCACTTCATTTATTTGTGAAGTTGTATCACAACCGTAATGGACTTATTACGGACGCAATCGCAAACTTGTCACCTCTGACTTGATGTTGATGAAAGGAAGTATTTATTGCACAACAGTTAGCTGTGTTTTCGCATCCCTAAATGAGGTTACAAGAGCTGTCACTGTCTGAACAACTCCAGAGGTGTTTAAGGGCGGTGGAGATAGTTTATTGTCTCCGTTAACTAGGGTATTAGGCAGCATCTGGGAATAAGAGGTAGTCCCATCGGGATGGTGTAAGTCACTGATTATCCCGATATACAAGAAGGGAGACAAGTCTTTCTGTGATAATCACAAGAGATTAGCTTGGACAGAATGTTATCTAAAGTTCTAGGCTCAATAATATTGCGTAGACTAAATGGTACTTGGGAGGAACAAACACAAGAGAACCAGGCAGGCAGGCTTTAGACCAGGGAAAGGGTGTACTGATCTTATCTACACCCTTTGACAGATTCTGGAACATAGGTATACTTACTGCGTCTCGCAGTCATCATATTTCTTGACTTGAAAGCGGTATTCGACTCCATCGACCGAGAGGTACTATGGCGATGTTTTGTTGTGAAGAGAATGTCGAGGAAAATACATTGCACTGGTGAAGGCACTTTAGTCGAACTCATCCAGCCAGCCAGATGAGAGCTTACGGCGAGTTGTCATCTGAAGTGGTGACAATTAGCAGTGTCCGTCAGGGATGCCCACTATCCCCATTTCTATTCAATTTCATCATAGATGTACTAATGGACTTAACCCTAAGTAACTTCAGTGACTAAGGGGAATAATCTCGTTGACTTAGAATATGCAGATGATATAGTCCTTTTAGGTGAAGAACACTTTGAGCAGCAGCAACAATCTTCGAATGTTTGCGATGCGATTCGCCCTCTTTGTCAAATGTATGATGAGGCTAGAGGACTAATGGACTACATTGACTTAGTCATAGCTTAAAGGCAAACAGATGCAGGGATTTGATTGGTCACAGGATTCCATCATGTGTTGACATTGGTTAGAGAAGCATTGGAAAACCATCTGGGAGTACTGCACAGGCGACTGTTTCGCCAGCCTACTTTGGGACTCTTCGTAAACACCCACTCACCTCTAGGGTTGGAACCAAGGACCTTTCAGTTACAAGGTGATGCTCACTATCGACTGGTCCTGTTCAGTTTGCACCAAACAAAGGACTAGACACACTACACTAGTTATTAACTATCCAATACAGTCCTACAGGAGGTCAATCGCTAGTCCGAATAGCTCACAGTGGTAACGTCTCTGACTACAGCACTGGGTGACGCGGGTTTGAATCTCAGAAGGGATATAAGTTCCTTTAAGGTTGCAGATATGCCTTGATGACTGGTGAGTGCCAACTAGCACGAAACCTAGGCCAAGCAAGGCTTCCTACCGATTGTCTCCAATCATCTATTATCCACTATGCCTGAACATTATTTCTGTCGTCCATATTGGTATCATCTGTAGTCTGTGCTTCGTAGTTTTATTATATAATTGTAAAGCCTGATAAAAAAATCGTCGAAAGTGCATGTTTGCACAAGTTGTAGCCTATAATTATCATAATGGAAATATTTAAAGTGTCGGTCATCCCTAAGTATATCTATATGTATATGTATATATATACTCCATCAAATTATTAAAGAATTTTTGGGTTCGTCAACCCAATGTGCTTATATCTTCAGTGAATGTGATTGTATTCCCTGTGTAACCCAAAGCTAGAACCCCCATCGTTTCAAAAAATGATTCTTATTTATTATTATTGTTCCCTTGGGTTCCTAGTGGAACATAGGGCTTCAACTGCACGCCTCCACTTGTTTCTGTCTTCTGCTGTACTTTTCACCTGCATCCATATTAGTCCATACTGCTTCAGCACCTCTTCACACGATCTCCTCCATGTCACTCTTGGACGTCCCACTCGCCGCTTACCTTCGGCGTTCCACTCGAGCTATGGCCTGACGCGCGATGTCACCCAGCTGCCTCCTCAGCGAGTGTCCAATCTATCTCCACTTTCTCCTGCATATTTGTTGGTTGGCGATCGGTTCTTGTTTTGTTTGTTCCCATAGTTTCTTGTTTGTGATTCTTTCCGGCGGCCATCTGATCTTCAGTGTAGAACGAAGACAGTTGTTGATAAAGGTCTGTAACAGGCTGTTGGAAATATTCTTTGTGACCCACCAAGTTTCTGATCCGTATAGAAGAACTGACTGACATGACGTTTGTATTGAAAATCCGAATTTTGTTGTTGATGCAGGCTGAGTGACGAAGATTTCCAGATTGGTTTCAGGTTGATGAATGTGTTTCTCGCCTTCCCGATCGATTCTCGATTTGATATCCTCGTCCGTCCGTTCCTCCTGTAGTTGAGACAATGCTCCCTAGATAAGTGAATGAAGTAACCTCTTTCAAATCCCTCCCGTTGATGGTGGTTGGCGCTGGATGTTGCTGCTGTTGTTGTTGTTAGTTGGTTATTTTCATAACCTCCGTCTTGTCTATGCTCACCTGTAGTCCTGTCTTCACCGGCTGATTCTTCGACCAGTTTATCGATTTTCGCTTGTAAGTCTTCGATTTTGTGTGACATCAAACATAAATCATCCGCGAAATCCAGGTCTTCTAGGTTCTTCACGTTGGTCCAGGATATCCCTGTCTTCTCGTTTCCCACTGTCTGACGCATAATCCAGTTTACCACAATTAGGAATATCATTGGTGATAGTAAGCACCCTTGTCTGACTCCTGTGTTTACTCCAAAAGCCTCGCTGAGTTTTCCGTTGTGGATCACTTGATATGTGCCATTTTCGTACAGCTGTTGGATAATGTTGATTAATATTTGGGGTATGCCGTAGTACTTGAGTAGTTTCCAAATTACTTCGCGGTTAACGCTGTCGAAGGCCTTCTCAAAGTCTATGAAGTTGAGGTAGAGGTTTGATTGCCATTCCATGCTTTGTTCGATGATGATGCGTAGAGTTGCAGTTATCCACCGATAGAACACTGACCAGTGCCATACACACACATTGGTGGTCTGTGTTCAATTTTCCGCTGATATGCTCCTAAACCTCATCAGCTTCTGTTTACTGGCCACCATAGTAAGTCTGGAAAAGAGGAAAGGTTTTAGAAGAGTGTATGAGCCTAGCTACCTCCTCCCACCGCCCACCTCCCGCAAAAAAGGAAAAGAAGCGCCAAACGTCCTACTGAAACTTCAAAGAAGGCTGGAAGCCAAAATGTCACCTGCTAGGAATGCAATGAAATGAAAGAAAATAAATAAGTAAAAGAAGATCTAGTGACGGGACTATGGTGTGGAGGAGGGGTGGGAAACATTGACTCATAGTATGTCTCCTCCTGATCCAGTCAGCACTAGTTGATTGATGTTACTGAACTGAAATGCCTAGTATTTGTTGACATATCAGCATGTAGTATGGGAACAGTATCATTCCATTCCATTCAATTCACTAGGAATGTAGTTGCATCCAGATGACGAGTCCTAAATGGGATGAAAGATGTGTTTTCCCCACTGATTTCAATCTTAGTTGCCACTATCAACAACAATAAACACGTATGTATTTGTTATATGGACGAAAATTTCCTACCACACGCCAGTTTGTTGTTTGTATTTCCCTCACTTCAAACATGACTCGGAATCCAATTGGTTGAAAAACCAATTGATTATTTAATCGATGTAACCTTTGTGTCTCAAGGTCATGTCTATTTAAACTGTGGAGACGCAATGTTGCATACTAATTTTTGATTGTTTGATACTAGGCAATACATACCACTCCATCTCAACAGTCTTTTCTTCTCTTCTGTCTTCTTGCATCGCGTGTTCGGTGTTGTCGTGTTGTGTTGTCGTTGTGGTGGCCAAGTTAAACTTTAAGCACCAGGGACTACCAAATGAAGTGCAACCGCACCACTGACCTTGAAAGGCTCACACAACAGGTTAGTGATACCTGGCAAGGAATGTTGTCATCATCAATAAAATATGCTCATCGATGTGTTAGATTATTAAATGGGATATCAGGCAAGTTACAGCTTAGGTTTGGGAAAGACTAAGTTTCTCTTTAAGCCAAGGACAAGTTAGGGTTAGATTAAGCTAATAAAGGCGACATTAGGGTGTTGGTTCGAGTTAGATTAGGGTTAG